TGACCAATTTGGGGTGCGACCAGAGTCACGGAATGAATTAAATTCATAACCCGAGGTTCCACTGTATTTTTTATTTTATGGTTCAAAAAGTGCAATAACATTATAAAATATTCTTCAGAAATGTGATGATTGAAACACTATGTGGATAATGAGGTTTTTTTTTTCTTGAAAAGGCAAGTTGTGGTAGATACACTCAATAAACTAGGACTTACAGCTTTGATGGTTGCTTCACAAAAAGGATATACAAGGTATAGCATTACCTTTCTTTTACATTTTACTTCAGTCTACATAGATTTGCATTTTAGTACCTGTTTAGATCACAGTGATTAATGTCTTTTTTTAGAATTATATGAAATTAATAGTGCTTTCAAAACAGAATGGCTATATGGTTATGTACTTGGAGATCTAACTCAAGAGGACTTTGTCAGTTCTTTCCCATCATTCTCCACATGATTATATTAATTTTTCCTTAGTCTTAGTTACAAACAGTAGGGTTTCTGTATTAAACTTGTAGCTTTTTGAATTTTGTATGAAATATACGTAACTATGCACATATACTATAGTACTGGTACTCTTGAACACTTATGTTCCATGACTGTGAACCCATAGGGGAAGATGCAAATAATAAAACTGTTATTCAGCTATTGAAGTCAAATATGAAAACTCAACAGATTGAACAACAAAATAGCCCACTGCTGCTGAATAGCCCATCTATGCTGTCAGATACATTTCTGTCATTTGTGTGTGTGTGTTGATGGACTTTTTAAAAACCTATTGCCACTGTGCTTGGACTTATATATGGATTCAAATAAAAATACTATCACTAGTATACTACTTCAGTGATAGTCCTAAAATTCACTTTTTTAGTGTTCTGATCGCTTTATTTATCATTGTAATATATAATAATATAGTTAACAATTTTTCTATATTACAATATTCTATTGTACATTGAGAATGAAGATGGAATGTCAGTTGTTTTTTCTTGCTCCAAATTATTTAATCAGTTATAGATTAAAATATCTTGAACGAATGGTTGCAATGACTTGTAGACAATACTGTTAGCTTATAAAACAGAGCATTTATGAAGCTGAGATTGAAAGCTATTTTTAATTTGATCCACTTCTTACTAAAGGACTCATTAAAATTGGTGTCTAAATTTGAAATGTATTTTTATAAGCTATGGAAGGAAGCTAGTTTTGGAAAACAATATAGTGCAAATATGAAAGTAATATGATGCTACTCTTTTGTATCTAGTCTTGTACAGTTTTTGGTAGGAAAAGGAGCAGATGTGAACATGAAAAATTCCAGTGGAAAAGACAGGTATAAAATGCAATATATAAGATTATATTAAATATGTTTATTTGTTTGAAGGAGGTAGTTATATAATTGAGACTATCAATTAGGCTATGTAAAGTGTTTGGAAAAAAGTATTTCACAATGCACAGGAATGTTACAAAGCACTTCTGTTTGGATCATAAAAGCAGCAGCATCTTTCCAAGCTCACACAGCTACTTCAGAAGCTGCTCCCAGCTATCTCAGCATTTGTGTGTATATGTTACCACTTCATTCACTATCTTTCCTGCAAAAAGGCTGTGTATGCCCCAGCATGCAATGTCAGCTGAATCACATCTGCTTTAATTATTTGAAAGGAGGTGCTTTGTACATGTTGTAAAGTATCTTTTTTTAAAGTTTTGCAGAGTCTTACTACCAAGCATATGTAAATACTACATGCATCAATATTGCAAAGGGCAGTATAGGCAAAACAAATTGCATTGAGTTCATCCACTCTTTGGGTGGGTGGGTGTGGGGGAGAATCCATATATAATCGGCTTGGTGCTTTAATTCTAGCTAAATCGATTTGCAAAGTGAAAACGTATCCTGGTTAAACCGACATAAATATCAGGTAGCATTTTACAGCATTGTATATAACTTTTTTCCTTTTAATATTAGATATTAGGTAAAGTAATAGTTACTTATTATCCAATGCCAATTTGATATTTACAGATATTTGAGCAGATAATATGTAATTAGAGGTATATAAAGCAAGGGTCCTGAGAAATAAATAAAAGTATATTCAGTTCTGAAGTTCATGTACAATTCACATATGCATGAAGAATGTTTCCTAATGTATTAATGATCTCATTGAACTGAAAATATGTGTTCATTTACTTGTAAAAATTATAATGGAAACCAGCTATACAAAGTACTTACTTCATTATGGTCATATTTATCTAATTTAAGTGAAGTCAATGTTAAGATGATTTTATGAAATCAAGACAGTTATATTGTCCAGTTTCTCAAATGCAAGATTAAGCAACTGGCGTAATTTTTAAAATCTTTTATAAAGTAATTTTTTTATGTCAAGCAACTTTGTTATTTTTATTAATCAAACCACTGCTGTTGTCAAAAGAGAATTCCTTATTAGATCCTTCTCTGAAACACTTTATGACAGATATCTGCACCTATAAAACAGCAAAGTGGGATAGGTTGCAGGGCACCCATTGTTGCATATTTTATTGTTAGAACAGCCTTCACAAAAGTGTGTTAATAATTTTAACCTGTACATTTGAGGGAATATATAGATCTTTTTCAACTCAGAGAACTTAAGACTGAAGACTTGATATACCTCTTGAGTTTGGATTGTGAAAATAAATGTGCTTATTTAACTTTTATTCCCTTTTTAAAATTGCTGATATAGTACACAGTTGGAAAGTTAAGCAGTTTTAAAGGTTTTCCTTTAATCCTAAACTCACCAGATATACTTCTTAGAACTGGGTTGGTTTTATACAAATGTTTACCTCAGTCTTACTGAACTAAATAGGTATATGCAAACATAAAAAATGAATTTTTCATTCATGAACCACAACTACGCACATCAGATTCTCTTGAAAGAGAATCAGTGGCAGTTAAATTCATCCTAAGGTTTTTGAGGGAGTATTTTGAAATAGGAACTCAAACTTTTCCTTGCACTGTCTGGACAAGCTGGTGGTCTGGAAAGCCCAGATTTGTCTGTCTATCTGTTCTGTCTGTCTGACAAAGGAGATTTCACAAAGAAGTCGTCAGACTGGCCTATCTATACCTGTCATGAGTCCTTCAGGGATTCCTGCACATATTTCTTTGATATAGAGCTGAGCCATGAGGTGGGGAATTAGCTTATGATGTGAGTATATCAGGGCATGTGTTTTATTCAGAGATATGCTCTTTCAGCAACTTTAATTTCTAATGAAGTTTGGTCATCTGTTTCTGAAGCTTTGAGTCAAGGATGAAGATAAATGGGTTTCTTATTTGCCCATCTGTGGAAGAACCATTTTCTTACGTTAGTGTGAAAAGGCAAAGGAACCTGATATCCAGCAATTTTTCAAAAAGTTATATAATACAAAATATTTCCTCCTTATCTGGCATTTTGGGCTGTGAAAAATTAATTATTACCTACTCACTGAGAAAGGTATAGAGATGATGATCATCAAAAAAAAAAATTGCATTTGCAAAAGGTGAGGTACTTCTGTTATGCAATATAGCAATATACAATATGACAGAATAAATCTCTTTCAAGAAAACTAATATTTAACTAGAATTGTATGTAGACTAACACAGGGGTTACTTAATTTACTTTCCATTTATCAGTCATTCAAAATAAGTGCTTTGGCTTTAATAAATGCTTTTATTTTGCAGTTTAATGATAGCTTGTTTTGCTGGTCACTTGGATATTATCCAGTATCTCAGATCCCAAGGAGCTTCCTGGCTATCCAGGGATTTCGGGGGATGTACAGCTATGCATTGGGCTACTGATGGAGGACACTGTAATGTTATTGAATGGATGATCCAGGATGGTTGTGAGGTACTGGGGACATTTTTCATAACAGCATTTTATATTATGTTTTCTGATATGTATATACTTGTCTGCATGTAACACTGAAGATGATAGAATAATGCATCAGTAGATACATGTGTGAAAAATATATTATTTACTTAGGGATGCTTTTATAGCAATCTAATTATTGTTATTGTATTGTATCTTACCATTAGATTAATTTTCTTAGTGGAAAACCTGTCATAACTTTTATTAATCATCATTGTTACCAGTATGGAAAAAAATGAGAAGAACAAGCTTGAAGCAAAGAAGATTAAAATGACACATTTTAATTTTAATTTAATTTTAATCTAGCAAGAAAAATTATAAGATGATCTGGTTTGGATTGAATAGAAGCTGCTTATGCAGTGGAGATATTCTAGTCCCTGTTTTCAACCCCTATCGTCTGTGCCTCTTGAAAATCTCTCCACTTTCACAAGCTGCTTCTGCCTAATTCTCCCTTCCCATTACATCCCTTTTCTAGATCCCAGGTCTTCTTTGGACCCTCCCCTCCCCATCCGTAGCAGAGATCTTTGGAAGGGTAGAATAGTGGCCTATAATTAAAAAAAGCAGGGGTGGGGGAGGAAAACCCATAGATCTAAGGCATTTACACACCCCATGCATTTTAAGAAAGAGTATCTACATATATAATTTTAATATCTTCATGAATATTTCAGAAGCCAAACTTGCTATTTTAACAAATAAAATTCTTAATATTTCATTTAATTATTTAAATGATGCTCTATCTAACAAAACTACTTATTTACATAAGTGACTACTTAGTATAGCTATAGGGCTAAGGCTGCAATCCTTTCCAAGGCTGACTTGGAAATAAGCCTCATTAAACTTAATTACCCTTGTTTTTTTTTTAATAGACATGCATAGGATTGTGTTATACATCACAATAACTCCAACTGGATTAAGACTGCTGTATTTCCTTTCTTATTGCTCTGGCAAAGCCTTCATTTGTATGAAAATGTGAACTCAAAGATACACACTTATGTAGATGAATGCTGGAACATTTTCCAGAAGTGTGGCAAACAGCAGATCCATGTGGTATGCTTCAAGAATGTGAGGAATAAGTTATTTCTATAGATACCTAACTCTGACAACACAGGCACCCATTTATTACAGAAGAGGAAAGTAGCATAGTTACTATATCCTTTCTCCTAATATTGGAAACAGGCATGCCAGTTTAACAGACATGTAGCGTAAAGACAGAATGGACAGTTAGTGTTTGCTAAATAAGTGAATGGAAGGGTAATAGAAATGCTAAAGCAGTGGTTGCTTTATGTTACAAAAGCTCTAATGCTCATAAACATGGTGGGCTATGTAGACAAAGCAGGGAGGAAAAGGAGAAAGAGTTACAATTATATATTCTAGAGTAAGATAAATAAAAAGACTTCAGTACTTGATTGGTCAGGGATAATGGCTAGTTAGGTAGAAGAATATAAATCTGTTGCCCTGTTAGCAGTAGATCATCAGGACAAAAAAGCAGGATGGAACAGGGTTTGTCTTCCAGCCTTTTTAAACAAAATCCCTCCCGCTTCAAGAAAATCTTTTGAGTCAGGTGTTACAGAGAGCCATTGTGCCACTGAGTCCCATCATCCTTCTGGCATTGCGTTACCTGTTTTACACCCATCCTGCTATACTTTTTAAAAATCCTTTCTGCATTAAGGATTAAGGGAATGAACCTGATATTTTATTTCTCCCCCTGAGGTTGGAGTTCATGACCAGTTTCAGAGGGGGAAATTCAAAGTTTCCTATATCTCTTTGGATACTTTCCCAAAGTGTGTAGGATTTTCAGCCTTAGAATTTTATTTTTCACTGAAACAATACCAGTTTATATTCAATAACAGTTAAGGAAAGGCAGCTGCCATTCTTCCAACAAAAGCTCAGCGGTGGCATAGTATTGCAGTACTTGACTGCTCTGGGATTGTTGCTGATGATTGTACAAATAGTTTGTTCATATGAGATCAAGTTTGCATATTTAGAAACTATACTTTTTTCTGTATTTTTCTGTAGTATTGCCACAATCCTTTTACAATTATATAATGCTACAGGTTAAATATATGGTCCAAAAGCAATAAAGCAACTCCCTAAATTAAAAAAAAAAGCATGAATGGAAATTAAATTGAACATATGGGTTAAGAATATTGCAGGATCTAATGTTAATATTTGTATTACAGAATCATGTAATGTACAGCAATGTAATAGCAGCACTTTAAAGAATGTAATTACACAAATTTCATCCATGGAACATATTCAAGGATTACAAGAAAACAAATTAAACCCAAGTTAATACTATTACACAATAGTTTTTAAAACTATTACATACATTCTCCAGAAACTTACTACTATTATTTTTACTAATCGATATTTATCAACAACATGGTCTTCTATCTGGAGATAACAGTAATGATACCTCTGTTGCCAACACAAAGGAAAATGGAAACAATAAGGGCGAAAAACAAAGGTTTATTAAAGACAGTAAAGATGTAAAATGAGACAGTTTAACTGCCAGAAGAAAATATTAATAAGTTACAGGAGAGTTTTGGTAGAAGTAATAGATTTTGAGGTAGGTTATAATAAGGAAAGGAGATTAAATTAGTTTAATATAGGAAAGATAGAAGAAGCTGTTAAAGGTAGAGACCAAGACTATGTAAAGCAAATTTTAAAAGAAGATACAAAATATAGATAATATTCAGAATAATATTGTGGTTCTGGCTTTTCTTTCATTTACAGGTTGACCCTAAAGACTCTGGCTTGGAATGGACTCCACTGTTGAGATTATGTGCATTAACAGGAAAAACAGATGTAGCCACACTTTTAATAAACGCTGGAGCTAATGTGAACATAAAAGATAAGGATGGCAAGACACCTTTGATGGTATGTTGTACTGCTAAGTAACATGTTAGAATGTTTCCCAGTAAGGAGAGCAAGAGAGCAGAGACTTCTGGTGGCAGGCATGGTGGTTTGATCGTCTTCAAGATCATGGAGATGGCATCTCAGATGTTTTGCGCTCAGCGGGTACCACAGGATGCCTTTAACTTCTTCCGGATAAAGGAGGAAGCTCAAAATTAACCTATTTGATCTCTGGACGGCCATTCCTTGTGAGTAAATCACAAAAGCAGAGGTTTTTGTGAGAGGCTTGTAAGTGGAGTAGCTGGGAGGCGAGAATTATATCTCTGTGGCTAAGGTACAGCCTGTATAAGGACACTGGAACTGGCTAACCCCCATTTCTATAGGACTTTTGGATCATATCTATTCTTCAGTTTAAGAGAGACCTCTTTTTACAGCAGAAAGTATTTTGCTATTTTTCTCATTTTGGAGGGAGACTATACATTTTTGGAAGATTTGGAGATTTCAAATAATTAAATTCTTGAAAGCTTCGCAAAAAGTGTGATAATTAAAGTGTTACAAGAAAGTTTACAATAGAGAAAGGGATAGATTTTCTTTTTTAATTTTTTTTTAAATTTTTCATGAATCTGTATTGCTAAAACTAACTGCTTTAATGGGATTCCATTCTTCCTTGGTAATGCTTTTTGTTTTCATGTAACTGGCTTGACAATTGGCTGAGATCATATATCAAAAGAACACAGTCTAGCTTATTTTTAGCAGAGCCTCTTTTTAACAGAGACACCTGCTGGCAATTGCATGTAATTACATGCTTGGGTTTTTCTTTCTTTTTCTCTCTCTTTTTTGTAGTTCAGCCTATTTTCAGTGGAGACACCTGTTGGCAATTACTGCCAATTACAGCTCTAAAGGTTTCGTGGATTTGAGTTTTTTTGCCTGGTTCCCCCCCCCCCCCCCCC